GATCTATGGACTGAGCTGGACTAAAGTGAGCATTATTGAAATAAATAAACTTTCAATTATAATTCTAAAAAGAAAAGAACCTGCAATTCTATGTATTTTTATTATATTTTTTGAATCTTTTAGGATAACCTGAGGGACTACATATTACAAAGATGTTTCCGTACTTATTCTAGAATGTTCTGTTATGGGCATTGTCATTTTAAAAAATCCTCTATGTTTGATATTATGCTTGAGTATTTTCTCAAACAAGATAGAAAAAATGATAGCTATCCTCTGAATCCGTTTTAAGATCTCTTCTGTCTTCTTCCTCCATAAATCTATTTATGTTCTATTATTTTTTTTTTATTTTTTTTTTTGACTATGTTCTTTATTGGTGGGTAGGAAGGGAAAGAGTCTGTTATAATCAGCTGATTTCTTCTAAAGCACTTTCTGTGGCACATAGCTTTATAAAAAGCACTAATAAGCCCTTTTAAGCTAAATGGACCAGAGTTTGTTTCCTCCTCTTGGTTCTGATCTTTTGTGCAGGTCTGATTTAAGCCCAGCAAAATCTGGTCCAGACCAAATAACTGGATCGAGTCTTACTTGCTGAAATGGTCTTGATCCACTTCCTATTGGCCTCAGTCTCACCCAAATTCAAAAAGCTCAGAGCTTTTGGGCTTAGCAAGCTACTGCTGTATTAAATGTAGTACGGAAACTATACCTGATCTACCTTATGTTGCCTAGCAACATCGCTACCAGCAAGTGTTGAACCTTCTTGGGTGGTATAAGGTAGGTAATGAGGTCTTTGAAGACAGTAATACTTTAGTTAAATACTGTTTATAAATGTTTGTATTTGATTATGAAACTGAAATACAAAACTATGAGAAATCTTAAAAAATATTAAAGGACAATTACATTTCAAAGCATATATTTTTTTTTTATAACTTTTTATCTGATCAGTAAAAGAAAACCAAAAATAACCCAAATTGAACAAAGAAGAAAGTTATTGTTTAAAAAAAACAGCTAATCTATTTTAAAAATGCATTCTGTGTTCAGCAGTTGGGATTAGAATGTTGGATAACACCTGGCAGGTGATGTCACAAAGAGACTGCTGATGACATCACAGACTTTGGAAGGGATCTGAGCATAAACCCACCCAGTGTTCTTATCTGTTCCCGACCTTCATCGAGACAGATCACTTTTGAGAAGCACGTTCGAACCTTAGCGAAACAAGCCAGACATCGTTCTCAGATATCACACGTCTTTTAGGTCGATATTCTGATTGATAGAAAG